AGCGAAGTTTTTTGGTTCCTTCAACTAATTTATTCATGAACTACAGCAAATGTATTTAAGATTATAAACATATCCATGAATTATTTTTATGTTTCAGTACTTCTTTAAATAAGTACAATTAAATAATATTTTAAACAATAGCATTGGCATGATTAGGTGGATTTTAAATATTTCTGTTTCAAACTTCGAAAACAATTAAAAGTTTACCTTTAGTGTGAAAATTACATTTAATTTTATTGGGAACATGTGATTTACGTTAAATAATATTAGTTTTCTGAAATTATTATTTATATTTTTTTGTCATAAATTTATTTATTTGATATCATTTTTTCTAAAATTTTCCGCTTTCCAACGATATATTATAATATATCTTCTGACTGTTATTTTCGGAGATACATTTTCAACCTGGATAAGCATTTTTCTTACTTTTCTCCAGTTTCCAATTATAAATTTTTTTCAAACTTCATATTTAGCCATTTTTTTATATTTACTGTCAATAAAAGAGAGTTATTTTTTTTTAATAATCCCTATTAAAGGTACTTTAGAAGAAGAGGTATATGAACATTGGACATTTAAGCCCTGTAAAGTGACATCAATGGGGAAAAGATCTAAATAATATTAAAGACCACTTAATTATACAATGATACACTGACTTTAATCAAAATCGTTAGAGTTGTTTTTGAGAAAATTGTAAAAATTTGTTTCACTGTTTTTATATCAATGGTATAAACGGTTTTTATATCAAGTGAAACTTCTGGTTAGCCGATGTTAAGGACAAAGTTGATGTAACATCTGAGGCATATAAAAACCTTAAATATGCAATTTCACTTTCTTATGACATTTCCTTTCTGAGCTAGACTGCTAACACACACACCCACACAGACCATTTTGCGGGACTTGGTTATTTGGACTCAGGAGACCTCAAAACATGAATTTCTGTTGAAAACTCAGATTCGAAAATTTTCACGATCGTAATACTTACCCTCACTATATATTTTATATATAGGTAAGTGAAAGTAAAAACACTTCAACCAGTCGACTCCAACCGACATTACCCGTGCGTTGCAAATCGGAAATCTAATTCACTTTCCACATAAAATTGCAAAATGAAAGAAGAAGAAAACAAACAAAACAAATCGATTCATATATTAACATAGAAATCCGTGATGAGCAAAAATATTTTTTTTAAATAATATAAAAAAATGTTCGCATTTAATATAAAATATTTTTTCCCTCGACTCCTAGGGCGCATTGGCAAGAACCCTCGGTCATGGATCAAATATTTTTCAGAATCACCAAAAAAAGTTTTATTGAAATGGGTGACCCCACGTCCAGAACCTCTCCCTGTGAGTGGAAGTAAAAATAAAGCGGAAACGGTTTCTCTAAAGCCTGTTGGGAAATAAATTATCGCTTCGAAAAAATCAAAGAGACATTATAGTGAAGTTACTGATTATGTAGAAATGGTGGATTAATTAATTGTAGGACTTAATTCAAAATGAACTATTCTTCTACTAACACTAGATGTACATCCGCCACAAGCGGATCTACGGCGGTCTTTCGGGCTGGTAAAATATGACATATTTTATAAAACAATTGTAAAAAAAAATATCTCTAAAAGCATTGGGTTGGCTAATAAGTCCTTTCGGTTGGAATAAAACTCAATGTACTATAGACATAAAATTTATATTAATCTACGATATATTGACTATTATTTAATTGGACTTTTTCCCATCATTCCACTGACTGCATTCTGCTATGTTCATAGAAAGTCTAGAGTTTGTTGTTAAAAAACTGATCCAATTGGTTTTTTATGTCCTCTTCCTTTTTGAATTTTTTTTCATCCATGGAGGTCTGCAGAGACCGGAATAAGTTGTAGTCACTTGAAGCTAGGTCTGTTGTTTGTTTGTTTGTTTCGATGTCTAGGCGCAAAACATCCAGGTCATAAGCGCCCGATCAACTAAATAACATCATTTAATACTATTTGGATGATTGGTACAAAAAAATAAAATAAAATAAAATAAATAAATAAAATAAATAAAATAAAATAAAATAAATAAAGAAATGGATTGATAGAATAAAATAAATAAATAAGGATAATAATAGACATTTATAGGTAATAAGATGTATAAAAAATGTATAAATAAATAAACTTTAAAAAATAGCAGTAGAATCAATAAAATAAATAAATAAATAAAAAAATAATAAAATAAATAAATAAATTAAAAAAAAATAATAAAAATAAATAAATAAATAAAAGCCTGTCAAATGTGTTTTTTAAGTCTTTCACTATCCATAAACTTGATGACTTTGGTAACCATTTCTTCTTGATTTCCCAGGGATGCTGATATATTCTGGGGTATTCCAAAATCTTTTAATCTTGCGGTGTAAAAAGGGCATTCTTCCAAAATATGTTTTACAGTTAGTGATTGGTTACACTTTTGACATCGGGGGATAGAATCTTTTGTTATGAGGTGGAGGTGAGTCAGTCTAGTATGTCCGATCCTCAGCCGCGTGAGGACGACCTCTTCTCTACGACTGCTGCGTCTGGAGCTGGTCCACGGTTGCACCTCTTTCTTTATTGTTTTTAATTTGCTAGGTGCGCTGATGTCCCACCGTCTTTGCCATTCTTGGAATATGGTTTCTCTCAGAGGTCGTGCAAGTTCAGATGGTGTCAAAAAAACTTTACCGCGGCCTGGAAGAGTAAGAGCTTCCTTTGCTGCTCTATCAGCCATTTCATTTCCTTTAATTCCTATATGGCCAGGCGACCAGATAAAATGTGCCGTTGTTCCAACTCCATGAAGCATTTTTATAAGACTTAGAATGCAGTGTATCCCTGGATGGTCTGGATACATGTTATTCATAGCTTTCAGGGTACTTAGGGAATCCGATACAACAACCACATTTGCAACTGGCTTCTTCATGACGTATCGGAGACTCATTGCTACGGCGTTAATCTCTGCTGTGTAAACACTACAAAGATGGTGTAATTTATATTTGTAGGTAGTATCAGGAGTGACAAAGGCTGAAGCAGTAGATGTATCTGATTTGGATCCGTCGGTGAATATTAGAAGATGTTCAGGTAACGTGATGATTATTTTTTGGAATTTTTCTTTGTAATCTGCAGGTAATGTAGTATCTTTGGTGAATTGGGTGAGTTGGAGATTTAATTTAGGTTGTATATAGGTCCAAGGGGCTGTTTCTTTTTCTATTTCATGTAATGTTATTTGTTTTAGTTTATTTATAATAAGAGACATTCTTTCTGCCAATGGTAATGTGGTATTCCTTTTTTCTTTAAATCTTTTTGAGAATTTAGATTGAAAAACATATTTATGGGAGGGGTGTGAAGTTTGCGGGTATAATTTAGTAATATAGTTTATTGCTAGTTTCTGTCTTCTAAAGTGCAGTGGTATAAGCACGCTCATACATTTTCTCATTCATCAGTTTTACAATATTTTATTCTCTTATACGTAGTCAGTATTTTTAATAGATTTTACAATATCTTAATTCTTTATTTATATCAATTATTTCCTTATATAACTTCATAATCCTCTTCTCTGTTTTAAATTTTATTCTAAGATTACCATTTTTAACTTCTTATGTTACCTTATTTTGATTGTCTTAATTTCATTGGACCGTGCTTTTTGGCCGTTATTATTATTTATTTCTTAGTTCTCTGTTACTGTTATTATTCTATCTACTTTATTTTACTTTAATGTTCACTCTATCTACTTCCTTTTACTTTAAGTTTTTTCTACCTACATTTTTTAGTACATACCTTTCACCACTAGCGGATCCAGGATTTAATTTTGGGGGGCTTCAGTCCGAAACCTTTTTTTTTCATAAAAATAACGATAATTACTTTGGAAAAACAGAAAGAAACCTATATGAAATGGTGTTTAAGTGATTCTTTAAGTCCTTTTAAATGTAATTAAACTAACAATAATACTTTAAGATGTAATTTAAAAAAAAAAAAATCCCATAAAACATGGTAATATTTTACCATTTTGGGGAGAGCTTCAGCCCGAAAGCTCCCCCCACCTCCCGTAAATCCGCCCATGCCTTTCACCTTTTTTAAATTTAATTCTTTATTATTCAATGTTTATATTTTCTCATGTCTGCTACTGGTACTTTTACGCTATTGAATTTAATCGATTGATAGAATCTAACGATAGAATTAGCGCTAAGTTTAAAAATGTAATTTTTTGTTATTAAGTAATGTTGGTTCTAAAAATTCTAGTTTTTGTAAACATTATGGTTAAATGCTCAAACTCAGTTTTATGTTTAAGCTCTACAAATGCTTTTGTATAATATATGTTATTGGTAATAAATGATTTAAGAACTTTTTTAGATCAAAAAATTGATTTTTACGATCTATTTCTTGGTGAATTTGGATTTTCATATATGGACTTCAGTAGCAATCATAGAAATTCTTTTTAAAACATGTATAATGGTAAAAAATATGGTTTAACTTAATATGTAGTTTCTCTTCATGGCTTACTATAAAACAAAAAAAAAAAACTCTAAGAAATACAGTGCTTATAGTGCAGAAATAATAAAATGAAATCATCATTTAAGCGTAGGCCATTTACGGCTACATTTACTTATAAATAACGCTTATTCTCATGACATTATCGATTAAAGATCATGTTCGATTTGGTCTTGCAAGATAGATTTAATAATACCGTAGAATCATGAATACTTCAAAAGACCTAAAACGCCATAAAGCAATACAGGAGAATACATGAGTGTCGTTGAAATTTGAATTTTTTTTATAGCTTAATCATATGTTTAGGTGAATTATTCCTGTTTAAACATTAAAAATAGCAAAGTTAACGTATATAAAGGAATATATAAACAATATTTCAGATATTTTTACTTTTAATGAACAATTTTTACTTCCTCTATCATAGAAAAATATTGATAATGTATTTTTTTTCTCCGCCATTTCTAATGAACCTAACCTAAGTAATTTTTTCCTTACATGATGAAATTAATTTGACAAAGATAATAACAAAAAAATGAAAAACTAACATTAGCAAATCTTTTTTTTTGGGGGGGGGCATACACAGTGTGCAAATCACGATAAATAACGGAAGTAACTATTTCATAATACTTGGATGTTCTTCGTAATTATGTAGCACCTTCGTAGAATCTAATCTAATTTTGTCCGACTTACGTTTGCTAAATTCAATGGATATGATCTGTAACAACCTGACGAAGTTCATATCAGGTGCTTTTATTTGTTAGCCCGCCAAGTTATCAGCTGTAGAGATAACCGGTAAAGCAGTAAATTACTATAATCTTCCTGTTTACAAACATATTTATCTAAGTTTTATGGCTTAAAAGTCTAAGATTATTGGTTAGCTTTAATGCTTTGAGATGCACAACATAAGAAACTTTTAATAGTTATTACATCCTATAATGATTGTTTCTTTTTTATTTTTAATTAATTATCTTTTAAAAGTTGTCCAAACTAGGAAACTTAAAAGTGCCCATTCCAAAAAACGTCCATGTCATATTAACGCTATTCAACTGCTAAATTGTTTAAACTTTGAAGGAATAGCTATCAGAGATGATGATGTGGGTATTAGATTTATGCCCCCTGCTTACAATCAAAGATACCAAGCTGTTTATAATGTTTTAGTTCAGTTGCAATCAATCTACGACATTAAAAAGGTAGGACTCTGAGGTTTATTAGTAATATTAATTTTTATCTCTGACCAGAAGTTAGATTTGCTTCAGCTTTCTTCTCTATTATGGAAACCTTTTCAGATTGCAGACTTAGGATGCTCAGAAATAGCTTTCTTTATTCAGATTAAGAGGCTTGAAACTATAGAGGAATATATTGGAGTGGACATTGATGAAGATACACTTGATAGATGTTCATGTAGAGTTACTCCCCTGAATTACGATTACTTATCATCAAGATGTGCACCGTTGACAGTGAGAATTTTACTTGGGAGTGCTTCAAAGCCTGATGTGAGATTGAAAAATACAAATGCCGTTGTAGCTATAGAACTGTAAGTTTGTGTTTTTATAATCCCATTTTAAATGGCCTACAATTGAAGTTGATGATTTAATGGTAATATAACCCCCTCATTTTTCAGCATTGAACACTTATATCCTCCAGAATTGGAAGATCTGCCTTACAACATTTTTGGTGTTATTCAACCAGATGTTGCAATATTTACTACACCTAATGCAGACTTCAATGTGCTTTTTCCAAGCCTTCTACCAAATAAATTTAGACATCATGACCATAAATTTGAATGGAGTCGCCAAGAGTTTGAAGATTGGTAAATATATTTTACTGCCAATAATGTATCTTAATTTTAATAGTTTCTAGTTTCTTTATTGCAGTTTTCTTAAAGATTTTTAGTTTAACATACTTTATATGTCATAATAATACATGGGCTATTACTTTAAATAAAGAACAGTTTAAAAATGACAAAACAATAATAATGAGTCTAGTGACAGGCCTTGTGGTCTTTCAGGTTTAGTAGAAGATCCTTGATTTTTGATCTTTCTGTATGATAGCGTATACATTTGACATTCTTCTCAAACTCAACTGTTAAGACCTATTTGCCATCTGTAAGCTGTATGTCACTTCTGAACTCATGTGTTTCTGGGGTGCAACATATCTGGTTTAATCACTAGAGAACTTGTTTCTCAGAATGTTTTATTACATAGTTCATGAATTATGTATAACATAATATATATTTTCTTTGAGATGCAGTATATGCTATTTATAATAATTATAAACTATATTTGAAAGACTTTGGTAATTACCTGAAAGAGAAATATTTTCTCAGGTTAAAAATAAATTTGAATAGGGAAATAACATTGATATTTGATACACCATTAAAAAGCTGGTAGATTTTAGAAAAAAATATATATAACTTATGAAGTATTAGAAAGTAATAATGGTAATGACTTTAATTAACTTTACTTTCATTAAATATATCATATTATGTACTCTTACTTAAACCTGATTATAGATATAAATAATTACTAGCTTTACATCAACAAAAATTAATTTCTACTCGGAAGTATGGTAGTAAGTGAAAGTTGTGTGATGCACACACCACATCAATTTTTTTAAATTCATGTTATACAAGAATAACATATGATTTCTTTTTAATTCATTAATATTATTCTACAAGAATCAATAATTTTGCAATCCTTGAGATAAAAATTGAATTTAAAATACTGGATTGAATATGATGGATGGGTTCTCACACTAAATCAGGCAGAAGAATACTAAAGTTATGTTAAATTAATAATGAACAATATAATACCCTCTCAAATATAAAAATAAATAAATATTTTTTAAAGTTTATTTATACTGTAAATGTTGATTGGGACTTTATAATTTTTTTTAAATTTTATATGTTACAAGGGGACACAATCTAACCTTGAGATATCCTGGTTATGAAGTTTGGTTTAATGGAATCGGTAAAGGACCGGTTGGAACTGAAGATCTCGGCTGCTGTTCTCAAATTGCAGTTTTTATTAGAAAAGAAGTAAAAGCTGAAAGCAATGACTTCAATGTAATGTTCTCTTATTTTTATTTTTATGCAATTTCTTATCTTTTATGTAGTTAATAAGATCTCAGCTGTTGGTTTGGTATTTCAAAATTATAAAGTAATTTTCTCTAATTATTAAATATAATTAAAATGCGATAAGTGGCTTTTTTTTTATAGATATACTATTCGATTGTTCGTGAAGTGGAATATCCTTTTCAAACACGAGAAGAAAAGTTTAACAACATTTTGGATTATGATGTTCACCAATTTATTGACCGATTTTCTCAAAAAGATGAGTATTTAGTTGGAGAACAATTGGAGATACCTTTTGTGGATATTATTGATTTCCTTAGTGTTTCGTGTACAGAAGATAAGCTGAAGTGAGTATATAATTATATAATATATATAATGTTAATTGATCATAAAGCAAATATTACAAATTATAATTTTTCATAAATGACTTTATTCCTAACATCATGTTTCACTTCATTATTATATTTATAAAATCACACTGTTAGAGTTAATTAAACCATACTGAGTTGGTTAAATTGTAATAACTGAGTTTTACTTTTACTCGAGACCCTTCTTGTATTTTGCACTTTTTAATTTTTTGTTTTATTAGAGATTGATAACTATCTGCCTATTAACTTATTAGTTATAAAAATAACTTTTGAATCAAAAATGGTAAATATTGAGTAATAATTTGATCATAAATGTCTAACACAAATTATTTCTATATTTAATTATTAAACCATATGTTTTTCCTGGGGAAAAAGAATCTCCATCTGTTTAGTTATATTTTTTCTGTTTATTACTAGAGTCACTTATTTCCACAGTGAACCCCTATTATCATTAAAAAAATTTCAGAAAATACTAAATACTATATTTTCAATTGTAATTGTAATGAACATTTATAGAAAACAAATTGAAACATTCTTTATTTGTAAAACATATTTCTAAAAATTCTTGATTATTTTAATGTGTCTTTTTTTTTCTTCTAATTATCAAGTTTTTATGGCCATAAGATTTTCTTAAAAAAAAAGTTATTTTCCACAAAACTATCAAACCGAATTAAATGAAAATACTTGTTATCATTTTCAATAAAACGAGTTTTTGAAAATTATGCAGATAATGATGAATCGTTTTTAATTCATTTACGACAATTTATAACTAATCTAAATCTAGTTACTATTTATTTTTCATTTAACAGAACTTGTTTCAAGGACTTGAATAAATAAAAATTTAACTTTTACCATCAATCTGGAATTTTATTACAAAAAGGTTTATTATAACGTTTATACGTACTTATGATTTTTGTTCCCTAAAAAGGTTATACAGTTCTGTTATAATGGAACTTTTAATTTCGTTAAGTTTTAATCAGCACACCAAACAATGTAGTACTGCCTTTTTAATGAGTTTTTTGGTATCCATGAGATGGATATGACCGATAATGTTTCAAGCAATAAAGCTAGGCTAGAAAAGTTTTGGGAGGATTTGAAGGATGAGACATGGAAGGAGGATAAGGTAAAACTTACAGATTCATTATTTCTGAACACAAGCTCAATGCTTAGAAATTTATTAATGCATGGGAGTCACTTCTCAAGAAAGAGTGCAACATCATCTTATTTAGAGAATAGTTATGTACAGTAGAACTACCTTTTAATGAGAGATACTGTATGCAAGAACATAAAAATTCTGTGGCGTTAGTAGTTTCCAAGGATAAAACTCAAAAGATTTAATAAAGGACTTTATTGTTTTTCCTGTAATAAGTTTGGGCATATTGCTAGAGTTTGTCTAGGTAATAAATGTAAAAGATATTAAAGTCAATTGGGGTAGAGAGGATTCTGCATGTCCAGATATACCCAGGTATCTCTGATGTTGCATCCACCAAGAGTAATGTGTGAGTGGCAGCTTCAGACATGGCAATAAAAAAAAGATTTTCTTGTTAATTTTCAATCTTTTGCAAATCCTCAGCCTGAGCTTATAGGCAATGGGCAGCATGTGATCGCTATTGGAAAAGGAAACATCAACATAAAAATGTAAGTTAAACAAAGGTGGAAGAAAGGTATTATGTCTGATGTTTGGTTAGTTCCAGAACTGGATAAGAATTTTTTCTCTATATTTTCTTTAGTAAACAAAGGGTTAAAGGCAATCTTCAACTCAAATGGTTGTACAATCACTAAAAGTGATACTGTAGTTGCCATCTGTTCTAGAAACCAAGGCATATTTAGAATGAACCCGAAAGTAGTCTTGCCTAGCTTATATCTCCTCATGCAAATTTGGCTTGACAGCCTGATACTCTCCAGATTTGTCATGAGCGATTGGGTCATCAAAACAAAAAGCATTTGAAGGGATTTTTAAATAGGCTAGGAGTCAATGTTACTGAAGATGAATTTGCTGCGAGGCTTGCCTTTATGGGAAGCATGATTGTCTTGAGTTTTTGGGAGCTTAGTGTCAACCCTGTTGATTTAGTGCATCCTGATATTTGTGGACCCATGTCGGTGACATCTTTGGGTAGATCAAGATATTTTTTAGTCTTCAAGAATGACTATGACAAGTTTAGAAGAACATTTTCTAAATAAGAAGTCGGAGGTATCACATAAATTAAAAACTTTTACTGTTGAGGTTTGGACACATGGACATTTACTGAAAGATGTTGGCGGTGAATTCAACAAAAAAGAGGTGAAAGGAATTATTTAAAAAGAAAGGTTATCCCATTGTGTGACGCCGCCGTTTACTTCTTAGCAATTTGGAGGTGTTGAATGGGAAAATCAGACTATAATAAAAGCTGGCCACCGTATGTTGCATGCTAAAGTCACTACTTGAATACTTATGGGCTGAAGGTTAACATGGCATATGTGATTGACTGGACAGGACTTACACAAATAGAAAAGTTACCTTACGAGTTGTGGTTCAGCAGAAGAGCAACTATCGATCATAAAAGATTTTTTTTCACTAAATGTTTCCTGCATGTGCCAAAACAGCAAAGAAATAAGTGGGACAAAAAAGTGTTAAAGTAAAAGAGTATTTGGTGGACTATTGCCATGATAAGGATGAGTTTAGAGTATGGCTATGGCATAAGAATGATATAATTACTAGTCGAGATATTATTTTTAAAATGAAGAAGTGAGTTTATATACATCAGAGGAAATATTTCAAGAATCAGAGCCTACTGCAGGCAGGGTGTGATGAGTTTATTGTGCTTTCCTTGACTGATGATGTGAAACAGGTTGTAGAAGCTGATTCTATTGAAAATGAATCAACCCCAATGGGATTAAGAGACAGAGATACGCTGAAGAAACATTATTGTTTTGAGAAGGAGTTGGTTGGGAGGTGCAGTCAAATAAATACTAAATTTCTAAAAAGTAGTATTTTTAATTGTTATACTATTTTTTTAAAATATAGTATTTATTTGACCGCACCCTCCGACCAACTCCTTTTCATATTATATCACGGTCAACCATCTCTACATCATTATTTTTTTGAGAAATACGCTGTGGTAACTACTTGTGAAGAACCAATAACACTGGAGGTGGTACTAGAATATAATGAAACTCAAAAAATGAAGAGAGAAATAGTAGGAAGGGTGACCTGCAGGTGCTGTATGTTCCCAATAGACATCTTCACTAAGAGCTGATTGAGACATGTTTCGAGAGGTTGAAATATAGTCTAGGATTAATTTCTGAAAATTTTTTACTGTCTAGGATTCAAATTAAAGGGGAATGCTAAACTCGTTTATTTTCATCAATTTGAACAATATATATATATATATATATATATATATATATATATATAATATATATATATATATATATATATTGTAACATCTCTTTTATATTATATAAATAATAATAATAATAACCTTGGAAGCTCACTTCTTACCGTTGGGATACTTCCTAAATAAATAAGAGGTTGTTTAATAAGAAGCAAAATTATAAGAGAATTAATATATTTATTTATCTCAGGTATGGGTTACAGATCAACTCAGACAAACTATTATTATTTACACTATTTATACTAAAATCAAACACTTATTTTAAAGTCAAGTATAAATTGACAAGCTAACCTTTCCTATAGATTCTGTTTCTTCCTTTGTTACACTAAATTCATTTCTCTTCAAATGCTTTCCAATGTTCTTCCAAACACAACTTCCAAATTGGTGACACTCTCTCTTGTACTTCCAAACAACTTCTAAAAAGGTAAATCTATTACTGGGTTTTTCCCACTGGAGCCAGGATCACTTCTCCTATCACACTGCAGTCACACAACAACTGTTTGCCAAAACAAAAACCTTTGTCCCTCTCCTCTTTGGGATTTTCCTTCTTGGGAAACTACAGAGCAGCCATTTTCTTTTCCCTGCACTAGTAGAACTAGGATTAGCTTGCCTTTCAATTGCTCAACATTAATTTATTAAATCATTTTTACCCACTTCCAATAAAGGTGTATATTACAATATATCATATCTAATATAACCAGTCACTAAATTTTATACTTTTAATATGAAGTCTGTTACTTTAATTCCTCAATGCTAATTTATATCAATAAAGCTTTGTTGTTTCACTTAAAAACTCAATACTTATGTATATTGCTTAAAAATAGTTCTAAAAAGTTGGGCAGCTCAGTGGTATGGCGTTGAGCTTCCAATGCTCTAGATCCCAGGTTCGAATCCCGGCTCATGGCAGATAAATTATTTATTCTGTCTCATTGGTCGTAGATCATCCCTGGGATCGGGAGACCTTCCTAGAACACACCCTCTATAAAAGTGGATGCCCTTAATTAAATAATCATTTAAGAGGTGAAACCTGGCGGTTTGAGCATGATCTCTATCAAGTCACTTCCTTGCACAACCGTCGACCAAGAAGCAGTACTTTCCCTTAATAGTACTGAAACTAATATCCTTCATGCTTTGTAGTGGTACAGGTTTTTTTTTCTAAGAAGTTTAACTTTTAAATGATACCCCCTAATATCAATATAAATTTTATTGTTTTACTGTAATTTTCTTCCCAATAAGGTTCAGCTTAGATTGTTCTTAAAAAAATTTATGATAATTTTCCAACATCTTTCAGAATATAGCAATATGAAAAAATGATAAGTTTAAAAATGTTTTTTTTTTCAATTTAAAATTTACTAAACATTATCAAAGAATAATAGACAACCCTTAAATCAGCACTTCTTGAAATTAAGTAGTTTCATTGAGCGAATTCATTTTTTGGAGTTTCTGGGTATCTGATGATGGAATAGATTCGAAAATGTGGAAATTATGGAACTATAAATTTTTAGCAGGGATTATAGATTTTGCAGAATCTAGTTCCCTTGACAAGTTCTCGTCAAAGGGTGCATGTGAACCCTAATTCTCATGGCCAGTTCTAGTAAAAGGATTTGCAGGGCTCAAATTGAGGTCAATCATAAATTTCTTTAACATGTATGATAGAAAAACTTTATGCTGGCTTCACTATTGGTTACTCCACCCCATGGCATGCGACTTCCAAAGCAAGATAACAACATATTTACAATCGACGCCCTAATGGTGCCAAAATAACAGTTTAGGTCCTGAACTATAAACCAACACTTGTTTTATCTCAAATTAACAAGAAGTGATGTCAGAATTGAAGTTCAAAGTCATGGAAGCTGGAGTGCACATGACTAGAAAAGGATTAACTATAAATCAATATTATTAAGTTGAATTTTGTTACAGAATAAGTTCAAAGTTATGTTTCACCTTTATTTTTGTAATAAAAAAAAACATATGTGATGTGAAATTTTATATCTCGAAGTATCAGTGTTCTCAGGAAAGATAATTACAATTAATTATTATAAACCTTAGTAACATTTAAGAAAATTACTATAGTTTTGGCTTGAAAATTTATATCAAAATATTCTTAAACCTTAAATTGTTTTGGATTGTACTTTCTTATTTTTATTGTTTGTTACAGGGCATATCTGGAAAAAAATAATAAACATGTTGAATTAAAAAATAACCGACTTATATTAGTTCTGCCTTATACTTCGGATGATGATGATAACAAGTCTCTCTCTTCATTTGATGAAATCATTGAAGAAATATGTGATCATGAAGAAAGTTGGATTGTTCGGAACAATGATTTTATTAATGATTTTGTGAATAACGAAGAAAGTTGGAATTATGTTTTAAAACATGTGGATGAAATGAAACCTGATTCAAGTTCCTTCAATGATCAGACCGATGATGTCAACAATTTGGCAGATGATATAAGTTTTATACTGGGAAATTCTGAAAAAAATGAACAGAATAACTCTGTCTTGGATACGGTTTATGATCCGAAACACATTAGTGTAAATGATCTGTTCTTATCTGATGAAGAGGACTTAAGAGCTGATTCTGCTACTCCAGTTGGAGAAAATCAGGTTCAATATTTAAATGTTGATAGTATTCTTCAGCATTCTGGTTCGACAGGATCAGGTAATACTTCTAAATCAAGTGATACTCTGGTAGAAAGCTTTTTATCACCATTAAATACAGCCAGAAGCTGTATGAATGATGAATACAATAAAAATGATACCAATTCATCTTCAAAAGGTTCTTTTTCTGATAAAGAACAATATCCATGTTCATCTTCAAGTAGTAAATCAGTTGAAATTTCCCAAAATGAAGGTCAAAAAGAAATCCTTGAAAATGAAACAAATGAAAATATAGACATTCCATTGACCAGTTCAGAGACCCCTATTAAAGAGCCTATAGTTGAAGAAGGTAGCAGTAATTCCAATGAAGTTCCGTATGACCAGTCTCTGTCACTTGTAACTAAGAGCCAATCTTTAGAAAATGTAAATATGTACAAATGTAAAGACAAACGTTTTAGGTATAGTTTAAACATAGATAATAAATTACTTGCCTGTGATACTACAGTTGTAGATATGGATCTAGAAACGTGCAAGGGATCAAGTGTACCTAGTCTTACAGAAACTTATGGTAGTCATAGTAAAGCTGTGGACAGCGGCTATCCTAATTCAACACAAGATATGGAACTCGATCTAACTCCTGAACAGGTGGATGAAATCATTACTGAAACAGAATCTAGTCTAGAAGATGAAGATTCTTCTGCTGATGAAAGGGTCGAGCCTGTTCATGTTAACCCTCCTCTTGTGTTTGCCGACAATGTAGAAAATGGAGATGTTGCCAACAATAACAGGGACGGTGAAGGCAACAATATGGAAGGAGGTCAGGTATTACCAGAGGAATTAGTTTTTGAGGATTTAGTAATAGGTGGTGGAGAAGTGGAAGCTGCAGCGGATGAGCATGAATCAGATGATGATGGACTTTTCCTCTCAGCTTTAGATGTATCCAATGATACCATAGTTCCTGAAGAAATGTCATCAAATGAAGATACTGTTTATCTCTTTGACTTACCATCTCCATCTTCATTTGGCAGCCTTCAGGTTCTAGAAGCTACTAGTGTCCAAAACCAGAATCAATTTCCCTCATGGCTATTAAACATGGAAATTTGGGATGATGACAATGGGAGTGGTGATGCAGGCCCTGACAGGGGTGAAGATAGTAGTGATCTAGTTGTAGACAGGGAAGGACAAGTGGATTTTTACCCAGGTGATGCAAGGGCCGGAGGAGAGCCGACTCTGCCCGAGGATTAAGTGATTTTATGTCAATAATAAGAAACTGACAGCATTCGTTATGTTTTATTATTCAACATATCATTTGTGAAAGAATTTATTATTTATATATCTTTATAGTTAAGCGATGCATTCAGTTTTGAAAATGCTTTAAAAGTTAGTATCTCCCATGTGCCAATGCTGAATGATAGGAAATAATGTAATTAAGACTGATGTTACCATATTAGTCATCTAAAATTTTTATTTTTGTTATTACTGAGAATAAATTTTTAATGAAACAAGACTTTTCTTTCCTTGAACTTCTATTTATTTGGCCATAAATTGGTCTCTAAATAAAATTATATTAAAACACTTAAAATAATTCAGTAAGAAGTATTGTTATTAGATTATTCAATATGTAATAGACCCAAGCTTTGGATCGCGGCTTGTTACCCTTTATGAAAATATCTAATAAAAAATAGTGCTCAAATAGTTTAAGGCTTTATCAAGGATATTTAACTTTTTATTCGTTTTTATAGGATGAGTAAATTAAAAAAATATAAGTTTATTACCAAGAATAATATAAAACACTTAAGTACAAAAAAAAAAGGAATTTTTGGAATATTGATAAAACAGTCAAATTTAAGTACGAATTCCTCATTGTTTTATCATTAATAGGGGATCGTTATTTGAATGTTTCTCTTAAGTATTATTAAATTTAATAGCAGTAAAAATAAACTATTTAGAAAAAATTGACTTTATCCATGTATTAATATGTATTGATAGTTTTTTTAAATAATTAAAATGGTTTTATCAATTGTGTGCCTAGGGAGGGAAGGGCAGGAAATGTGAAAGGAGTGGCTATATCAAGTTTAACTCTCCTGGAAAAATTCCTAGTTTCATTCATGGTAGTGGTACTACAGGTTTAAGTAACTTTAATAAGTTCAACTACACATAGCTCACACTTGGCTCTCAACATGAGATTAATTATTCAGTTTATACCACTTCTCCAGTTTTGACAACTCAGGTTTTTAATTAATCTTTTAAGCTCAGGCCTTGAGAGGATTAATTAATATTAACCATGAAAAAATTGCTTCCAAATTCATTGGCAACACTTTTACTCCCATTATTTATACAGAAAATTTTCAGAAGATAAATAAATAAAACACAAAATCAGGAAAACATTGTATTTTCTATTTTACATGTATATACAACAGCATCATTTAATATATAAAGTTTCCAAGCTATTTATTTATTTACAAAGACAAAATTCACTCTAAAAATAGTGTAACAAACAAATTTCAAATAGTGCATAATTTACATATTATCTGAAAAAATAAAATAATATAGGTAATAGCCATTTGAGAATTATCCTATTCAACTTACCCTTAAAGTACAAATAATCTCTAAAAAAAAAATCTCACTTTTTTGCACTCTGTAATAAAGCTCAATTTTTCTAAGACTAAGTGTCTAATAAAATTTACCTAAATTTATTGGAATGTAAGAACACTGATTTGTTTTCAATGAAGTAAATTGTATAACCAATAACCAATAGGCCATGATATGAAGAGTTGACATTATTTCTCAAACATAAAAATTCTATGATTTATGGATAGCTCAACCTTGTAATTACTAATTGAAATAAAAAGCAGTAAAAAAGTTAACACCTGGCACATAAATTAAGAAACAGGCGTATAATAAAAGAATATAAATTTTTAAAAAAAAGATTCAAATGAATATGATTTGATGAGAAAACAATTAGCTATACTCTTTATTTCCATGTTAATTACATTATCGTAGATCGTAGTTTGTATTATTAAATATTTCTTAATTTGCTTCTAACAAAAATTAAATATACCTTCGCATTAAGAAATAATTACATTACTTTACAATGGTGTGACATAAAAATGTGAAAAAATAAATAAATAAGGCAGTTTTTTGAAAGATAATGCCATACTTCAAATATTACTCTTGTATATTATTAACTACATATGATAATTTTGAACTAAAATCATATAATGGTTTTTATAAGTGAATTAAAAATTTAAAAGTTTGGACGGTACTTTTACATATAAAAATATATTAATTATAAATGAAAAATGAAACAAATATAAAGAGGCAAACAATATAGGCCTTAAATAATGATTATAGTATAACAAATCTAATATAAAATGTAGTGATTATATGTTGATTAAGATTTGTAACTAATAGAAAAACAAAATAAAAATAACATATAATTTGAATTATCTACATCTATGAATCTCAATAAATATTAATAATAACGGTAGGTAAAATGACTTATACAATAGTTGGTCATACTTTATATCGCCTATGACTAACATAAAACAGTCTAAATATTCAACAACATAATACTGACTATTCAATAACTTTATAGTCAAAATATTTTTAAAAAAGTGTTTTTAACACATATAAAACTGAGAAAATAAACAAACGAAATAATACGAATAATAATAATAATGCGGTTTGGCAGAAATCAAGCCGATCTCCTTATAATGACTAGACTAATGTATTTAGTATGTTTGTTATGGATAGAATTTATGCAGGTGAGTCGGCGGAGTCTGATTCTCTTCTTTGTAAAGTTCCCTTGTTTACGGCTGCTTCCTTGATGGAAGTCAGTGTCTTTGATAGCCAAGGTGGCCAGGAGTTTCTAGCTGCCTGCATTTCAGATAATGTTGCTCCAAGCTTATGGGTTAGATCCTGAATAATATTACACAGAATAATTATAATTAATCAGTTTATATTCGCAGTTATTTTATATTACAACTAGTAGGCCTGTGCGAAAATTCGCACAGTTTATTATTCAGTGATCAAATAATAAATTAATAAGAAAATGAAACAATGGAACATATCATAAAAGAAATCAATTGTTACTTTCTCGCTAAATATAATCGACAAAGGAAAAAAAATTCATTTAAAACTTCATTAATGTTTGGAACCAACATGTTTATAAATTTGAATAAGCTGTATCTTTGCTAAAAATAGTCCCGATTTTGATTAGTTTTTTTCCTTTTGTAGGGAATTTAGTAATCTTTTATATAATCTATTTTATTATAATAATTATATAAAATAATGGACATAAATGGTTCCGATTTGGTGCAAAAAAATATGTTTTGATTTCTATGAAAATTCGTATTTGAGTCTTTTTCGAGATGCGAAATACAAATCTCAAATCTGTTTTCCCTTAAAAAAATATTTGAATCCACTTTCCTCCTTCGGTCAGTATAAATTGTTCTATTTTAGTGGTGATTGGACTATTTTGCCCACCTGAAGGAGAAGCAAACCTTCAAAATTGGTGAAAAATTAACGATGATGTGGCTTACCGACTAAAAACACCTTTGATAAATAATATAAACTCCTCCTCTCTTAGACATAGGATACTCAAGTCGACAAAATGAGACATGTATTACATGACAGTACTACGATTAATGTAAGGCTGTATGGATGTGAACCCTTTGCCTTGCATTATCTCGAAAATAGTACATTTATGGATTTAAGAACACAGGGCCCGAGAGTTCCGAAGGAACTATCCGGGTCTTGCTGTACGTATCAAAATCCTCAAAGCCCAATTTGTCCCATATCTATATACAGGCTTAACACCATTCCAGTATTGAAGCCTAACAAAATGTTTTTACCGACTTTATTTATTTTAGAAAGAAAAACAAAAACGAAGAGTACGATTCGCTAAACCCCCCGTGAAATTCTGAATCCAACGGTAACCTATTCATAGTGTTTGAGCATGACAGGAGCTTATATTCGGTACAAAACAGATTTCGAGCCTTACTGTAATAATATATGTGGGGATGAAAATAAACACTAAGATTCAACAATAAAAAAACTTTAAAAGGGTCTATTGAAATTTTGAAGAAAGCCACAGACATAAGCGACAAAATGAAGGGACTTCTTAAAAAGCTAATAATAAAAAATTATTTTATAAAGCAATTTTTTATAACAACTTTTATAAGTATACCAAATTTCAAGTTTTATTTAGTATTGACTGAGATATATATGTAACTGTTTTTTTACTTAAACAAGACGTTTAAGTATGTCAAATCGCAGTATAGAACTTCAAGGGGATTTTTGAACTGATGAAAAAAAAGTATGACAAATTAAAATGACCTAGATTCTATGACATTATCATTAATCTCCAATATTATTTTGAAAATTTAGGTATTTATATCGACTTAGATCAAAATTATTCAAACTTGCAGATAATTTTGCAACTATTTATCAATCAGTAAATAAATATAGACTGTATTGCATGAGAAGGGCCAATCAGTAATGCATATATTTGTTAGTGAAATGATTCTTTATATTAATATTTCTTGGTTTTCCATACAACTTTTGCTTCAGGTTGTTGAATTTATTCTTTGAATAATGTTATTGAATTTATGTCATCAAGATATAAACAAAAACAGATTGGCCCTTGTGTAAAATGGTCTATATCTACAACAACATGCAGACAAATATGAGATAAGAAATTAACGATACCTGATTTTTACATTCTGCCTCAACTTGTGCTAGCTTAGCCTGAGCCAGTTCTAACTCAAGTTCTGTCACCCTCTGCATCAGATGAGAATCGCTCTCTTCGATTCCTTTGTTATTCGTAGGGCTTCCATTTGCTCCAACTTTTAACTCTAGATGACTGCATTTTTCGCATGATGCTACTAAGGACTAAAAAAAACAAAATAAAATGAAGACAAGAATCCATTCCCTGTTAAATAGGATTAATAATTATGAGTTATAAAGAAAAATACTACTTCTTGGTTCTAGTAATACCACTCAGTTATAGTAACAATGCTGAATAGATTCCTTATCTTTGAGAATCAAACTTTTCTCTCCATAATTTCTTGTAAATATTATCTACCATTATACAGAATACCTCAATAATTAAATACTCATACGAGATCAAGACCTACTATGAATCTGATAGAAAATACACAAGATCACAGAGAGGTGTTGGGGGAAAAATGTCTCATGTCCTTTTTCAAACACTTAAAGCGGACATAAATTAGAGAATGATTTCTGAAGGTTCATAAAATTACTGGCACAGGTAAGTCGCATGTTGGTTTGAACTTTTTGTCCAGTGAAACATTTAAAACTGTCTATGAGCAAAAGGTATGGTACCATGTTTGTTTAGAACTTCCCACAAACGATGAAGCACTTTCTCTTCTTACTAGTCAGTTCAGGATGACAATAAAACAGATAACCCACAATTAAGCATGCTCAACTATTTAGCAAACAGATAATCAATCAATGGAAATATATTAATTCTTATTGACAATTACATGAGAAAATCTTGTATTTAGCAAACAGATAATCAATCAATGGAAATATATTAATTCTTATTGACAATTACATGAGAAAATCTTGTATGAATATTTCACAGGAACCATAAAAAAAAAAAAAAACAGTACCATTACAACCTATGAAAGGTTTTGTGTTCAGTACTGTTTTAATGGCAACGGTTGTATGAGAGATGAAACTCACAACCTGGTTTTCCCTCTTAAATAATTATTTAATTAAGAGTACCCATTTTGAAGAAGTTGGATGTGTACCAGGAGGGTCTCCCATTCCCCATCAGAACCAAATAACATAATACTTTAAACAGAGATCCACAGGAGCCAATTCTCCGGATAATTATTATTAACATATCCACGAGTATATACTTATGGTCTAACAATGTTTTCCTGTCTTACTCTCAATATTGTACAGAGATTAGAAATAAAGAGAGAAATTACACTATGTTAGCATTTATTTTATATATACTATTTATACATAGTTGAATCGAATAACTGTGTATCAGAGATATTAAGACATTTAATTCTGCTGACTCCAGGTAAAGACATATATTACTTAAGTGTCCTATAAAAAAAATATACTTGCCAAATATTTTGCTTACCATCAGAGAGTTCAAAGAATTTCTAGCTCCTTGTTGTTCTTTATCAAGCCTTTCACAAATCTGAAATATAAGATTGAAAATTAATTACCAATGAACAATGCATTACCTTCAGATTTCTACATTAAAATTGAGAAGAATTTCAAACCAGGCAACTCCATTTTCCCATTTTTTATTTACTAGGAGTGTATACAATTACAGTGTTGTTTCGTTTAATGGTAAAAAGGTTCTCTGCCTATAAGCTTTGATCAGATCATAATCTAGTATCAAAATTGTTAATTGAAAAAATAAATAAAAATGGAATCTGTTGGTTTTGGAATTCTATGGCTAATTTATTATTAACATGCTATATACATACAGCTTTATATCCATCTATTATGGAACAGTTTCTTCTATTGTCTTCTTCAGCCTTCTCTACTTCCCTTTTCAACATATCTTTGACCTAAAACAATATTATTTAGAACAGCGCTAATATTACTATCATATTTAATTTTGTAAACCTTTATTGGAAGTGAGTAAAAAGGGCTTAATAAATTAATGTTGAACAATTAAAAAGCAAGCTAATCTAGTTCTACTAGTACAGGGAAAAGAAAATGGCTACTTTGTAGTTTCCCAAGAAGGAAAATCCCAAAGAGGAGACTGACAAAGGTTTTTGTTTTGGCAAGCAGTTGATGTTTGGCTGGAGAAAAGAGAGCATAGGAGAAGGGATCCTGGCTACAGTGATAGTGCCACCAATTTGGAAGAGTTGTTTGGCAGAACTTTGGAAAGTGTTTGAAGAAAAATGAATTCAGTGCAACAAAGCAAGAAACAGTATATGTAGAAAAAAGGTTAGCTTGCCAATCCATACTTGACTTTATTATAAAATCAGTGTTTAATTTTTATATAAATAGTGCAAATAATAATAGTTTGTATGAGTTGATCTGATTGTTAGTAACCCATACCTGAGATAAATAAATATATTAATACTCTTATAATTTTGTTTATTATTTAATAACCTCTTATTTATTTAGGAAGTATCCCAATGGTATAAAGTGGTCTGCCACGAGGTTATATTATTATTATTATTTGTAAAATATAAGAGGGATGATACAATATACACATAGAAATTTGATTGTTTTAAAGGGATTAATATGGATATTTATAAGACGAAAATCACATATTTTGTTGAAGTACTATGGTCCAAGAAAACTTATTGAATAGAAAAATACTTAATAAAATATGAAGTTTTAGACATAACTTCTTTTTACATGTTAAAAAATAAATAAATAAGAAAGGGGAAATAAGGAAAATAAATAAGTATCTAAAGATCATAAGCATTAAGTTCTGACTAACAAAGATAACTCAATAATACTTTTGTTTGTTAAATGAACTATATATATATATATATATATATATATATATATATATATATTCTAGTAAAGCCAAGAGGAGGGTAAATATAAAGAATAAGACCTGGACTAGTTGTTCCTCAAGTCTTTTCTTTTCTTCTTCTGATCTAACTAATTCACATTTTAACCTTTCCAGTTCAGATGTGCATTTGTCAGCATTCTCCTCAGCCTCTGAAATTATTTAGAATTACATGGAACATTAGAAATGATGGGGGCTTGAGTGTTAACAATTAATAATAATTTTTTTTTATTAGTATTAAATTATAGTTGCATTTTTATGTATATTAACCACGACTGGTCGGCAATAAAAAATAATAACAAGGATACTCTGAAAACGACCGTGACATAATTACCAAGTCCCATAATTACAAGTTTGCATAACAGATGAGCGATATAATTGTTGCCTTTATAAACAATTATAAAACAATAGTTGAGCTGTAATCTCTAAAAAATAAATAAAAACACATTGTATGGCTTTATTTTTTAATATCACTTGAATAAAATAAATCTAATCAGAAATTACATGATCTAAAGATCCAATTCCATGAATAAAATATACAGAAGAAACAATGAAATTGACTAGATTTTTTTTTAAGGGGGAGGGATGAGAAGCGACCTTGAATAAAATTGATCTCAGTTACAACTTTGATAAATCATCAATAAATATTATATTGACTGTCACACTCCAAAAATTGTAAAAACCATTTTATTGAAAATATGATTTTGAGCTTATTTGGTCGATCTTGGCCATGGATTCATTCATAATTAGGAATCAAAAATTAATCACTGGATCTTTATCTTGAGAATGACATAAGAATTGTACACAAAATCTCAAGTTTTTTTCCATCTTCTAAATATTTTTAGTTTTTACATTTACAGACTTTACTTGCAATATGACTGTCTGATATGATAGTTGCAATAGGTATTTAAAAAAATACAAATGAGGTAGAATAGACAATTTAGATTTACTATGAAAACAATAAATATATTTGATAAATAGATTACTTGATATTTATAGGAATTGATCAATTTAATTAAATGTTTTTAAAAAGTACAACAGTAAAATTCAAATGACACTTGAGATGACAACATTTATTCTAATATGAACTGTTGAAGGGTGTGTTACAAGTATAAGTTACAAACAAAAGCTTAGAGATATTCAACACTTCAGAAGAAATTCTCTAAAGGTTAGTATATAATAATAATATGTGTATCTTACTAACAATAAAAGAATATTATTTCAGTTAAAATAATCAGTCTCAAGCATATACAACTATTTAAAAACATGTAGTTTTTATTAGTGCACTCAATAATTGATTATTCATTTATTACTAAAATGACTTATATCACTTTAAAGGCTTGTGCAATAAGAATTTAACCAAAATTTAAGAACCTTGAACTAAAAATTGCATAAGAAACATCTTGAAATCAATGGCAGGAAATTCTCACCAGCAACCAGTAATATCACAACTGAAAGGAGTGGGAGTGAGAGAAAACAAAACAAAAAACAATCAAGCAAATCAAAATCACTCACTGATAAAGGGGCAATCAATTAATTAGTTATCTAGCTTAATTACTTTTATGTATCCAACAAAAAAGAAAATAATTCATTTCGATGGAGTCCAAATTAGTTTCAACGTGCTTGTAATATTTTTAAGTAATGGATAAATTAAATAAAAAAAACTTTGAAGAGCCATGAAGAGTAACAAAAAATAGAAAAGAAACTGAAATCAGTTTAGAAAGCAAGAAGATGAGTGTTGACTAAGCAAATAGTGAAAATTTGTTTGCCTAGGTTGAATAACATGAATTTAAAATGATAGAAATCAAATAAGAAAATATTTACTCAACAGAAAGACCTTATATGTAGGTTTATGTATCATTCAATCTAAGATAAAAATAGGACAATTTAACAATCAATATCAGAACACTTTGGGAAATAATAAAGTAAATTTAAATTTTTCAAAAATATAAAAATGATTTATGTTCTGAACGGAACATATATACATTGTAATATGTATCAGTAGATAAATGAAAGAATTCCATCATATTTTTATAAGCAAGTAAACACAAAGATCTTCACAGTAAATTTCTAGGCAATCTGACAACTATAAACAACAACAAATTTAATTAAGTCAGGTCAGAGGTACTCTTTTTTATTTAATTCTTTGTAATCTATTCAAGATAACTAAAAAAAAGTATTACCAGTATTTATTTTGTGATTTAATTTTTATAACTACTAACTTATTAATTTATGTAATGAAAATTTGATTATTTAAAATCAGCAAGACAGAAGATTATTTTAAAAGATTTCACTATTTTTTTCTTTAAAATTAGTCTCAGCCTTTTTCTAATAAGACATTAACTATTTTTTCTGTTTTTGGCATAAACAAAATTCATTGAAACAATACTTTGAGAACTTACCTTTCATATCTAGGAATTCTTGTTCGTATTTTTTTAGTTTCTTAACTTTAATGCAGCAAGCCACCTTCATGAGACCTCGGGCTACTTCATAATTTCTACACTTTTTCGGCAGGGTGACTCGAAAATATTTTAAAATGCTCTCGAAATCCAATTGTAATAGATCTTTTTTACACATCTAAAAAATTAATAATGACTGAAAAATGTGTATACTACATCAAAAGATAATGAAATTTCAACACAGATCTATTACTAAACATTTTAATATTGAATGAAATAAACTTTACCGTTAAGAGCGCTAAGGCAACTTGGAAGAGTGTATCTGTACCTTGGAGGAGAAAAACATCAATTATATGAAAAACAAAATAAAGAGGAAACCTTGCAGTGTATAAGGTAAGGAACCACTGTGAGGCGAACATATGGGATTCAACCCCTTTGTCTTGAAAGTGATGATATAACTGCGGCAGTTGTTCCTAAAATAAAAATCAATTGAAAGTATTTAAGACAACAACACTTGGTTACTTTTTCAAATTCTAAATTATTTTTAGATAAATAATTTATTCTAAATTATTTTTACATCCATTCCCAACCTGCGAGTTGCTTTAAAAAACTACAACAAACTTGCCAATATTTACTCAAACCTAAAAGACCCCAACCCTCTGAAACATTGCTCGAATTCCGTATACCGCATTCCTTGCTCTACTCCCAATTGTAACTCTGCTTATATTGGAGAAAACAAAAACCATCTTAAAGACAGCATCAACCAACACAAATATCCTCTACATTACACTAAATTATTATTATTATTTTTTTTTTTTATAAAAATATATTTAGTAAACAAAGTGTCTGTCGATAGTAAAGAGACAAATAAAAAATTAATTAAAAAAAACTATTATACCTAAATTCAGTACAAGTTTTAATTATAGCAATTATCAAGTAACCGATAAAAGCTAATGGCTGAGGAAAAGCCCCGGGTACAAGAAAAACAATATCTTTTTTTTTAAGCAATACTAGAAGAAAATAAAAAATCCTTTTCCCTTAAATAATGCTTTAATTTGATACTTAGACTGGCCAATACATCGTGAAATCCAGATCAAAATCACATAGGACATATAAGGAGTTGGTACAATAATTAAAGAAGGCAGCTTTTAGCAGCATAACTGGAAGAATTAATAAGTTTTTCCCATCCCTATCTCAAGATCAAGTGAACATATGAGAGAAAAATATCGATAAATTGATAATTTAAAAATTTTGCAGATATATAAAGTATCAATAATAAAATTTTACTACTATGACTGATCATTTTTCAAAAACTTATTTTCTGCAGGGTATATTACATGAAATATTGGTTTAATTAATTTTTTCTTTTTTTTGAGCAATTTAATTCATTCTTTTTGAATTCTAAAAAAGCCATTTTAATAATGAAAATTTATTTTTTAAAAGTAATTCGTTTAATATTGATTAACTCATCCATTTTTATTATTATTTTTCTATGATTAAGCAGTTAAATAAATTTTTTCGACATCTAGTTCCTATAAAAAGTTTTTGTTTTTCATAGAAAATGAATTGATTGATTAATCTTTATTTTTTATAGCCAATATATGAATATTAATTGTTCCTATTAAAAATTTCAATTTAATGTTAATCCTTTTGCCCTTTTTTCAAAAATTATAAACATCGAGGCTTATAATATCTATATATTTTACTGATTTTTCAATATATTCACAACTTTTTTTATTATATTTACAACTCACATGTTCACTTTTCATAAATACACAATATTTTGACAAAATAATATTCTAATTCTAAAAATAATTCAGTTTTTCCTAAACTTGAAATTTTCCTTATCAAAATCAACATCTTCACTGATATCTTTATTTATCTACATGAGATCTCTTCAAAATAATTATCCAAAGATATTTTGACTTATGAAAGAATGCTCCTCAGATCTTTTTGTAAAGATTTGATCCTATCCCTTTACACCGGACTAAGAGAAATAAGAAGTACAAAATTAACCTTAGTATGGATTAAAAAAATACTTGTTTTTTTTTTCAAATAACTTAATTAATAATAAAATGTGGAATTTAAATTTTGCAAAAACACAGAAAACAAAGAAAATGAGCAAGCCCATGTTTTTCAAGGTAATATAACGGCAATATTAATGCAAAGGCAATCAAAAAGGTATTATATATTGTTTTATTTAAATTTAAATTTTAGTAAATTATGCAAAATCCACAACTACTTTTACATATTAGGAAAATTGTTAAAATTAAAAAAAAAAAAAAATCATCTGTTCTACTCTTTGCCTGAAATAACAGGTATACATTTTATATGAGAAGGAGTTAGTCGAGGGTGCGGTCAAATAAATAAAAAATTAAAATATATTAATTATTTTAATTTTTGGCGACGTTTCGACCCACTTGGCAGGTCGTCTTCAGGGCGTAGGATGTGGCAGTGCGGGAGGCAGTTGAAACACTGGCAGGGTCAAAAAACTTTAGAAATCCACTAGGACACTGCTCACTAGAGTTTTTTGACACTGCCAGTGTTTCAACTGCCTCCCGCACTGCCACATCCTACGCCCTGAAGACGACCTGCAAAGTGGGTCGAAACGTCGGCAAAAATTAAAATAATTAATATATTTTAATTTTTTATTTATTTGACCGCACCCTCGACTAACTCCTCATATTATATCAATGGTCAACCATCTCTACATCGGTATACATTTTAATTTTTTCTAATTACATGTTTTCATAAGACCTTTGACTTAAGCTTGTTTAGCAGCATATAAGCCACAGATTTCTAAATTTATAGCATTACCTGATCCAGAAGACATCAGAACCTAAAATTTGTAAAAAAAACTTTTAGTACTTAGCATGATTTTCTTCACTAATAATCCTGGACACAATTTCCAATTCAGATATTCCAAAATGATCTAGCTCAGTTCAAACAGATGATAAATATAAAAGAAAATCACATACTTTAAAATTTTAAAACAGAAAAAGTTAAATACCACATGATTTGTCTTCTTTTAATATTAAGTAACAAATAATATTTTAAATTTGTATCTTATTCACAAAATAGATAAATGATAAATATAGAGCAAAAGTAGATTTATCGTCTTATGGAGTATTTTAATAATTTATAGCTTGTCTGCAAGAGCATAGCGGCTGAAGGTGAACTCATATTGTCCTAAGTTGAAACAAATATTTGCCTCCAAGTATTACTTTTTAAACTTTGCTGAGTAAATAAAATTTATCCTAAAATAAATTTATAAATACTATAATTATTAATAAATACATGTAATTATTAATACTAGTTTTAATTCAAATTGTTTCCAACTAAGTTTAATATTTACATCAAAATTAAAACTTGTCGTTAAAAGTCCCGCCGTTTATCAAGTCAATTGAAATCTCTTGCCCTCCATGGACTAAATTCATTTTTCTGCTGCCATATTCTTGAGGACGAGCTATAGTTAGGGCACATTTATTTCTAGTGTAATTGGCAAGGACCAAAAGCTGAATAATAGGCTACTAATCGATAAGCAAAGGCATTCAAAAAGACTAATAGAAAATGAAATTTAATGGTAGAAGGATACTCCATTTTTTTAAAATCAATTATATAATTTTTTTTACATAAATATCCAACTTTAAATCTAATTAATAAAAATATTAATTATTTATTATTAGTCAGATTCAAAATTACATATTCATATAAAAAAAAATTACTGCTTGATTCTGTAGACTTATTTTTAATAGACCAAAATCAAGAACAATAAAGAAGAAATGAAATTATAGTGTGGCCTATGTGATCAATTCGCCATTAAAAAGAAAAGAATATTAAATGGTTAATTAAATCAATAATTAATTTAAATCAGATGAGAACAAAACAGAAATACTAATTTTAAAATAAATAACTTAATAATTCTTGCTTTTATTGATATCCCTTTGTACCAGTAATAAATACTTGATGAAATAAAATAACTTTAATTAAATAAACAAATCTATAATAGTAGAAAATTAAAATGATAAATATAAAATTTTAAAAGTCTAATCATGTGTATATATAAATATAGTAGCATTCAATTAGTTATAAGACTGGTTTATTATTGAATAGAAAAAAATGAAATAAAAATTGTATTCAAAGCAAAAGCAGAAAGCATTTACCTCCATGAGCCTATTCAATTGGTACAGGCGAAGTCTCAAGCATTCAAAGCCATCCTTGTACAATTCTCTCAGCCCGTAGTCATACATTACTTTCAACAGAACACAGAAAGCTTGTTCCTCGGGCATCTTAAAACACCACCACCATCAACATTACTAATAGACTCGAGTAATAGCGGTTCCAGTACTATGTGAATAAACATTGTTAATAAAACTGACATGTAATAAGAGCGTGGCAGCCAAGAAGCTGAGTCCCTGGCAGTAGCCGACCTCAGTGTCATGGACAGCATATGCCTTAGAGATCCGGAACAAGGAATCCTGACCACCGCCTCCACTACCTTCTTTAAAGAAGTCATGGGCAGGAAAAGTTCGATTGATATCTCGTTGTATCACAGCTTCGCAATTGCTTTCCTGTGAAATATAAAATGTATGTTGCAAACCCTATTATACAAAATTTAATAATACTAGCATAATTCCAGTAAAACAAAATAAAAATAAATAACATTGAAAGGATGCAATATTGAAAAAAGTAAGAAAACATAAAAATTTATAGTCATTTGGACAACTATTTTTTAAACTGTTCTTTGAAAATGAGGGAATAAATAATTTTGCATTTCTCTCCGCTTTAATATGAAATATAAATCAAATCTAGTGGGGAAAAAATATAACTTTTGATTGATAATGATCATAAAGAGAGTCTTGCCAACAAAATGACAGCACAGTGTGACATCAGTAAAAACATATTTATTTCTATGAAAGGGGCAAGAATGGGTAAAATTTCTAAAGTACAAACGAAAGAAAACTTTTAATGTTACAAGAGAACACCAAAAAGAAAAAACTTTTCTGACACGATTTTCTAAAAATTCTTTTTGAATTTTAATAGTCACAATACTTTTGTAAACGTTGTAATAAGCTTCTTATAATAGAGGAAAGTGATGTTAGTAATTTTAGATATCATACATGCTAACACTTACTCAGTGCTACAATTCGATCATAGAATAAAGAGAATTGTACTAAGTAATTACCGGGATAATCTCTCCTAAAAGTACACTTCAGAAAATGAAGTGCTCATTGATTACTGACTTATAAATGCATTTCTCTCCGTCTACAAGGATTTGGAATAAAAATTGTCAGCAACTGATAAGTATGAACATATAGAATAAAACAGAATAGAAAAATAATTTTATTCTGGGACGAAGTCCCTTCAGAATAACAAAAAAGTACAGAAATTAAAATTTTATATCTGGCCAGATAAAAACAAACATAAAAAGTTAAGATAAAGATAAATCATTAAAAAAAAAAAAAAAAAAATTGTTATACATACTATATACAAAATAAAATAAAAAAATCTATATACAAAACTCTTGAAACCATACTAAGATACTTAAAACTATGTACAATGTTAAAATATAAATAAACCCTTTTAGAAAAAATAAAAAATACAGAAAAAATAAATGTAAATTCTTCTTAACAGTAAAATCTGTGTTTCTGTTGAAAAAAAAAAAAAAAAAAAAGAAAGTCGAATCTATAATAAGTATTTAGGTTATGAGCTATATGTGAATATGTTATTATAAATAATATGTAATTTTACATAAAAGGTTAGCTGGTATCTGACTGTTTTTGGGACAGGAATTGGAATAGGAGGGTTTTGAATGTAGATAGGGATGAAGAATGTCGAATTTTGATAGGAAGGGAATTCCAGAAACTAACAGAACGAGCAATAAAGGAGTTTTGGAACGAGGCAGATCTGTGAGAAGGAATGTAAAGGTCGGAAGGTCGAGATCTTGTGGAGAGGGAGTGGACTGAGGACTTGAATTGGAGAAGGTTGTAGGCGTAGGAAGGACGATGATTGTTGATGATATGATAGAGGAATGTACCTAGGAAATATTGTCTTCGAATGGAGGGGAAGAGCCACTCTAACTCAGTGTAGTGGTGAGAGACATGGTAGTATCTCGGGGCACCAATTACAAATCTCACGCAACTGTTCATTAATCTTTTCAGTCTGTCACGGAGCTCCACCGAGAGTCCATCATACACCACACAACTGTAGTCAAAGTGGGGGAAGATGAGAGAGGAAACGAGGAGTCTACGCGTATGTTGAGGTAGGAGATGGCGGAAGCGATGGAATAGTTTGAGAGTAGAAACTGTCCGTCAGGAGATGTGAGAAATATGGTGACTCCAGGAGAGGGTTTGATCAATAAATAGTCCTAAATTTTTTACACAGGAGTAGAAGGAGATTGGCTGGTCACCAAGGTTTAGTATGGGAAAGATAGACATATGCTAGACAAAATTAACATGAACGTAAATTATTCAAACTTACAGTTTTGAATTTTTTCCTACTAATTTTATTTCTGACCCGTCGGTAGTGCACTGATCAAAATCTCCCAGTCCCTAGTTTATTAATAAGAAAGTCCAATCAATATGTTAGTGGAGATTTTTCCTAAAATATCTAATTACAAGCATATTCAGACTTCAGAAACTTGTAACAATTTCTGTGGTTTGAATTGTATATCTAGTATCCTTGAGAATAAATAAGTAGATTTAAAATAAAAATAGCGGCCCAGACTAGAAAAATTAAATCATGATTGAGAAAAATTTTGTAAACCTGATCTCCAGAAATTTTTGCGTATCAACTACTATCATGTTAGCAATGAATAAGGGTGAGTAGTTGGTTAAAACTTGAATCTTTTTTTAAGAGCGGTCCTTACATATAAATCAAAGATAAAAAGTAAACAAAGATGAAACATTAATTATACTAACGCTGATAAAAATAAGAAAGAACAAGGTATTCACTTTAAAATTAAAAATAAAACTAAATAAACTCACTTTAGTTATAAGTATTCTATAGTTGTCCATGACTGCAGTATCAGAATCGCAATTGGCAAGACGCTGCCAGACCTCACCTCGAAGAGCCTCTGGGATGCCCTGACGAACGAGAGGTCCCAGCTGCCGAGGCCTTGCTCCTGACCACTTTGTCAACACATCGCGCCACGACTCCAAATCACTCACGGAACAGTCTTTACTGACGTTCCCAGTACCACTAAGCAGAGGCTCGTCGCCATCTGTGCACAGAATGTGAAACCTCTGCTAGTAAGAAGAAAATATAAGAACAATAACTACAGAAAAAATATTGTGCAGATGAGAAAGTTGATTCAGATGGTTGGTAGTTACAAAGACTAGAATACTTTTTATAATAAATTTATTTACTCTTCCATAGATCTTTAAAAATGTTAATTTGATAACATTTAGTTCATTTCTAAACTTTCAAACTTAGATGACAGTCCTAATCTATTTTTTCCAATGTCAATAAATTTCAGTATAATCAATCCAAATATAATTACTTCTCAAAGGCAATTTTTGACAATATCTCCTTTAATACTCCACCAAGTTGAATGATCAGACCATTTTTTCTCCTCTAATGCCAAAATATAAGCACATCTCCAGAAATGTAGGGAAAGAAGTCAAAAAGAAAAGAAATCTTTATTAGAGCATAACTCAAAAAAAAAAAAAAAACAATTTTTGGTTATATTATACATCCAATTTGAAAGTTAATTAAATTTTTAACAAAGAAAAAAAAAGATTAAAATTGGAACATTATTGACGAGGATACGGGCAACTGAACTTCATACTTATGATTTGGTTCATTATTTTGAACAATAAACATTTGTTAATTGACAGACAGTATTGGATTATAAAAATTATAATTTACATGAAATAAAATAGTGGGAGTAATGGGTTATTTTGTAAAACCTTAATCAGTTACTGATTAAATGAAATAATAAATCAAGATCCCACTAAAAATGAAAAACAAAAATAAGGTTGTTTATTTTTTCACCTTCATTATTTGTTTTGTTTGAAATAGTCTTTATGTTCAATGATTATTTATAAATAAAATATTCAAAAATAATTATAGCCAAGAATTATTATCATAGTTAAGGTACTTTAGTCTAACTATGTTCACGCTACACTAAAACACATGAAAACTAAATATTTTGAAAAATAAGTTCTTTCATTGAGTGAGTAAATAAGGTAATTAATTATTTAAATCCATACTCAAGCAATAAAAAAAAGAAATACCTGAATTATAATCGTCACGGGGTGTAAGGGTATCCATTGAAGTGATGCTCGGGGATCTTATGTAGCTGGCAAGATTATTCAATGTTAAATTCAAACGACTTCTATCTATCTCTCCAGATGTTTCAATACTAACTACTTCATAGTTGGGTTCATTATCCAAGCTCATAACCTACAATTAGAAACAGCACATTGAAAATTCAAAAACATGATTATTGGTTTGAATAATCAACACAAAGAGTTCTTCTTATTTATGCAGAGAGGATGACAACACTACAGGCTCAACTTATGATAAGGTACTATCAACTACTTATCACTTCCTTTTACACTATTCCTCCAAGGATACTATTTTCTCCGTATAATGATGTTTTTAAAAGCTCAATAAATGTTCTATAATTTAGCAAACAAGCCCAAATTAAGATTAAGTTCTAACCCCAAAATAAGATTAAGATAATTATTTCTACCAATTTTGTGTAAAAAAAAAATTGAATAAAAATAAATACTTTATATTTAAGCACTGGTCACATGTCAGTGTGTCATAAAAAAAATTATTATTAGAAACAAAAAGTTGAGATTTAAAAATTAAAAAAAAAAAATAGAACAAGAAATTATTCTTTTATTTAATAAATGTGTATAAGCAAAAAAGTAACTGTTTTTACTAATTTCAACTAAGAATCTATTATAAAACAAAATACAATAAAACATGCAGGCCTTCTCTAACATCAAAGAGGGGAAACAATATAATCAAAATGGCATTAATAAAACCATAATCATTACCATGGATTATTTTCAATAATTATTGTTACAAACATCTGTAACCTATATATATATATATATATATATATACTTAATTGAACAATCAAAGGGAAGTTTGTTTTCACCTTTATGTATTTAAAAAAAATAAATAAAACATAATCAGAAAAAACTGGAAATGACTATTGAACCCATCCCTAAAGAGAATAAACATTAATTCTATACTTCAACATAAAAATGTTGAACAGTGATAACAAATAAAAATGTTTTTACCTCTTTTAAATTAAGTGAAAAAGGCTGAATAAGAGGTCTTCTCGTAAAATACCAGAATCTTTCACCTTGATGGTAAACTCGAACTTGTGTTTCCACAAGCAGACGGACTGGTTCAGTAATTCCCCTCACGACAAGATCCACAGCAACAGTCAAGTAGACTTTCTTGTCCCTTCCTTCTGTCTCAGTATTGAGTAGCTCAAAAGCTGCATCCTTTGGATCCCATAAGCCAGTAATTACGTAACTGGTATCGTCAACTTTTTCTGAACCCATTGACGCCTATTGCATAAAAAAATATTTTAAGGCATTGATTTAGGAAAGACTTATAAAATGATAATACTATTTTTTATAACCACAATACATAGTAGTAAGAAATAAATACAGTCCATCCAAAATGTAAAACACAAGAGGAAATTTTCAATTCCAACAGTTTTTTTTTTTTTACTTCTAGCATTAATACAGAGCTTTCCTATCTTCAATTACAATTAAATTCAAACAAAATGCTGAGATTTATTGATTCTATAAACTAAATCAAACCATATGAGTAAAAACTGAAATAAAATATGTATACAGCACACTTACCATATCTAACAACTGCATATCGCTATGCTTAACATGCTTTCCAGGAGCAATAAGAACACCAAAACATCTCTTCACCTCCAATTTTTTTTGCCCTTCAGTAGCAACCTGAGTAATCGTCAGACAAACTTGCTTTTCTATGTTACAGCGTAGTTTAAAACAACTACGATCACGAGGAACAGCATTAAAATTACCCTAAAACAATTATTTGATTTCTAAGGATATTAAATCCAAAGTTGGCAGCAACATAACAAAAAGTTTCTCAGAAAATCAATGTCTTAATAATAATAAAATAAAAAAATAATTGTTCGAAACTAAATATAAAAAAAAAGTGCAATGGGAAAAATTGTATTTATATATACAGGGTGTCCCGTAAGTAGAGGGAAATTTTGATAGCAGTGATAGTAGATCTCAAGAACTACAAAAAAGTCCATATAAACAATGGGCCAATTTTCAGTAGAAAAATAGCAAATCCAAGTTTTGTGGTCTTTTAAGTATCATTTTTTTTATTGAATAAAAAAAAAAAAAAAAGCAATAACTAAAGAAATATTTAGTTTAAGTAATTAATAATTGCTTCATTGTAAACAAGATGAAGTTTATTTTAAATGAACATAAAGTTTATCAGCATCAAACTATACTACTGTTACTCCACTTTTATAAAAATTTCTTCATTTTATAATCTTGAAGTCCGTATTAATTAAGTTGAGGTTTATTAGAGAAACGTATAAAAAAGAGAAAAGTAAAAGTATTCCTGTTTTCAGCTAAAATGACTACAATTAATTGTTGTAAAGCTTTTATTTTTTTGTTTTTTCATGACCTGGAATGTATTATAATAAACCTAATTGCCTAAACACACATTTTATTTATAAAAATAAATAATTCGAAGAATACTGAAAATTGGCCCATTTTGGATAATTTTGTGTCAATATACCATGTGATAGTCTTTAATGTAATTATGTAATTTTAATATATCATATAAAATGTAAATGAACAAAAATAGATAAGTATTATTACCTTCCCATCATCTTCCTTGATATCCATAGTTAAATCAAGGACAAAAACTTGAATATTACCAATATTGCTTAGTAATTCACCTTCTGTCGGTAGTTCTCCATTGATTGAAGTACTTAAAGACTTCGGGACCCTTTGAAAAGCTTTCATAAAACATGCAGAAACTTGGCCAACCTAAATTTAAACATTTTAAAACACCGATTATTATATCACATAATAAAAAAAATTAAATAAGTGGGATATAAATACTTCACACCAAATGCAATTTAAGAACTTACTGCTTCGGGTATATCACATCTGAAAACGTGGCACTGAAAAATAGAAGATTCCAAAGTGTCACCATGAGTCCAAGTGAAAGCAAAACAAGCAGCTTCATTTGAATTTGGTTTGCCGTGAGCGTAAAACAGTATCCGGCAAATTTCATATCTTTGCATAACACTGTTCGTTATACCATCATATAATCTATGAAAAAATAGTTTAACATATTTATTTTGAAAGCTAAATCAGCTAAAATTAGTAGTACAATTATTATAATGAACAAAGATAAAATAAAAGAAACTGGCTTCAAAAGTGTTTTAATACATATTTTTCAGTCAGAGCCTTGATAAAACACAATCAAAATTATTCCTATTTAGGCTTGTATTGGTTGTAAAACAAGTTTACAGTAATATATATTTTTAAAGGGAGAGTCAAGAAGGTTTAATCAATGGCCAATACCAATGAGTCTTGTGCCTGCTCTATTCAGTTGTTCTTCAATTAATTATAGACGTGTGTCTTCATCTTTTTATCCACTTCACGGCCATGTATAAATTAAAATATATATTAATTTACAATTTTTTTTCTCAAGGCGCTACAATCTGGTTAGAGGTCTTGGTCTCTTCCAACCGTTTCCTCCGATTGTCACGGTTTTGCGCCGACGCCACCCAGTTCCTAACTCCAAGCATGCTGGGGGCATCTCCTGCCATAACATCTGACCATCTTAGCTTTGGGCTCCCTCTTCTCTTTCTTCCATGGATTTACTGTGTAAGCAATATTTTAGACCTTTCTCCATCTGCCATCCTAGCAATATGCCCTGCATACCTCGGCTTCATTACTTTCACAATATCAGCTTTGCCAAAAGCATTGCACAGATCCTGATTCGTGCACTGCTTCCACTAATCTCCAACTTTCACTACTCCAAGAATATAACAGAGAACTTTCCTTTAAAAAATAAAGAGTTCCTTTTCAGTAGCCTTCGAAGTTGTCCAGCACTCCGATCTATATAGAAGTATGGGACGCATCAATGTCTCGTTGAGATGGAGCTTGGTGGAATTTAAACAGAAAAAAAAAAAAAAAAACTGTAATTACTACCAAAAAGATATGGCACACTTCATGTGCTGCGCAGCTACTAGTGTTACAAATAAATGCATGCCCACTGAAAGGTTAACTAATTTATTTATTATGTATTATGATTAGTGTCTTCTTATTTTTCTAGAAAAATATGTAGTTCACAGATCCTAACAAAATGAATTAATTGCAATAAATACAGATATTAAAGTAATAATAGTAATTTTGGCCAGATGAGGCCCTATGTCTAACAAGTCATCCAGTCCAAGTAAAGTCCTCTACAAGATTATTAAATAAATGAACTATAGTACTTTTACTGTAAAACATTTATAAGTGAGTTATTAGACTATTCACATTCTATTATTATTTACTGCAACTGTCTAAACTGTAAAATCAAAATTAAAAAATATAAAAATATTGGTACTAATTAACAAGTGACAACTCTGCTTGCCAGGTGTGGATAGATTTTATTGATTACACTGTACATAGAATTCCGAAAGTAGCTGAGCCTACCAATGGTCTTTGTAACCTTTGAGAGACCCAACCAATGGCTTGGCTATTGGAATCCCATCGACATTATGAGACCTTGAACGACCCATCAACCAGAAGGGACACTTGTAAACCAGTATCAAATATTTACATAATAAAAATAAACTTAGATTGAAAGTTTAAATGAAACTTACACAACGGAACCATCAGAACAAGACGGTATGGAAATAGACACTTTAATAGCTTCCACAATACTCTCATTAAGGATAACCATGTTTCTCTGTATTTCAGTGTCTGATTTGGGTGCATTGATGGCAGCAGCACCCAGGTAGGACACTCCATTAAATATTGTACAATCCTGATGAACATCACCTGCCAACAGAATGGATAAGTTGATTCTTCATCTAGTATCAAATTTTTACTCTAAATAAAGAGAATCAAGACGAGAGAAATAATTGATAAGGGAAAAAATTGGTATTTGTAAAGCTATTGGTATTTGTAAAATAACTAATTAATAATAAATCTTTTTCCCTGTTTTTTTTTTTTCTTTTAAGGATTCTTATGAGATCAGGGGTGGGTAGTTCTTTGGCAATAATTAGTTAATTCAATCGACACAAACAAAAGAAAGGCTGTATTTTTCACCACATTTATTTTCATTTCTCCTCCACATTTAGTGATATTTCTACTTGAAAAATTTATAATATTTGTACAGAGAGCGATGAAGTTGATTCCAGATTAGGGTGTTGAAATATAGAACTGTGAATAAAGGTATAAATTTAGAAATATCACTAAAATTAATAATGAAAAATGTGGAAATTTGAGTTAGGTATCCTGCCAACTGAAAAGCTCATATACCTAATAGTTTATCAAAATTGTTTGAATTGTTGTAGGAAAAATGTGTACAATTTATTTTATAATGTTATCAAAAAAAGCTCTGATAAGTCAATTTTAGTGAAAACTTACTGAACATCTCAGCAACATACATTTCTTTTGTATGTAATTTCAGTTTAACTTCTCGTTTTTGACCTTGACTATCGCCATACTAAGCACCTAGACTATGTCACAAGACAGATTATTTGGACTCAAGAGGACGTACATTGTGTATCAGCATTGTTGGATTAAGATTGAACTAAGAAATAAAGTGACTAAATAAAGAAAAAATTATGAAGAATAAGATTTAGATTTATTAAAGAAGATATCAGATCCTATCATATCACATATGATGTGAACATAGTTATTAATAGGTTGGCAGTTCAATTGCCTGATTAAGAGATAAATAATTTCCTTCCAAGACCAATATGTTTTTCAAAGTAAAGTATACTTTTTCTACCATTAGGGAAATGGAATAAGTCTTCTTTGGTGTCAATGCTTGTATTTACTTTGAGTAAGTGTTATTTATTTTAGAAATAAATACAAAATTAGCAAGGCATATATATAAAAAAAGTATTAATATTTTTTTGCTGTTTTTTATAACCTATTGTTATTGATATTGTGATATATCGATTATACCAATTAGTGATTTAGTTGTATTAACCTGATAGTGTGATCTTGTACGATGAATAAACAGTAGTGATTACTAATATTGTAGTTTTGTGTTTTAATATTCCAAGATCTAACATTTGGCGATGAGGATAAAAGTATTGAAGAAAGGTACTTCATGGGTGTATGAATTAAAGAAACAAGACATGATTTTAAAACACAAAACAACAATATTAGTAATTACTAATCTTTATTCATCGTACAAGATCACACTATCAGGTTAATACAACTAAATCACTAATTGGTAAAATCGATATATCACAGATATGAAATTTTTTTTTTTTTGTGGAATAAAGCAATTTTTTACTTTCACTTACATATATATGTAATATATAGTAAGGGTAAGTAATGCGATCATGAAAATTTTTGAATTTGATTATTCAACAGAAATACACGTTTCAAGGTCTCCTGAGTCCAAATAATTCAAGTCCCACAAAATGGGATGTGTGTGTGTGTGTGAACAGTGTAGCTCAAAAACGAGTACATGGCTGCGATGCTACAGCAACTTTTTCGTAAAAATCGGCTAACCGGAAGTGCTACTTTATAAACTGTTATACACACTTTTACAATTTTCTCAAAATTGGCTCTAACGATTCTGGTTAAACTCGGTGTATAATTCAGTGGTCTTTAATATCATTTAGGTCTTATACCCATTTATGTCACTTTTGGGGCTTAAATGCCCAATGTTCAACATATCTTCTTCTTAAGTACCTTTAATTTGGTTTATTTTAAATAATTAACTATCTCTCATTGTTAGAAGTTATGAAAAAAGGCTAAATACAATTTTTGAATTAATTTGATAATTGAATAAAAGAGAAAAAAAAAAGGATAACCTTCAAGAAACAAGTGACATGTTATAACTGTTGGGGGCTTTGTCCTACCCTAAAATTCAGAGTGAAAGAAAGGCGGCGAAATTTTCAAGATTGCCGTTGAAGAGGTAGAATAACCGAACCAGAAGTCCCCGACATGGAAGATACCATAGAAGAGGAGGAAGTCGAAGCAGCCATTGCTAAAGTAAAGATAGGAAAAGCAGCTGGGCCGGATGGGATTGCATCCGTATTTATAAAATATGGGAGAAATAAGCTTCTCAAGTGTCTCCAAACACTATTCCAAAAGGTTGAGGATCTCAAAAGGATACCCATAGAATGGGAAAAGAAATTCATTATCCCAATCCATAAGAAGGAAAGCCAAAGTGTAAGCGATAATTACCGCCCCTATAATAATATTATCATTTGATTTTAAGACTAAGAATGCAATTATTATTATAAACCTGAGTTAAATCTAAATCCATGTTATAAGATGGATCACTTTATTTAATTAAATATTTTAGGCGATAACATAAAACTCATAACAACAAACTCAGTATTCTATTTTTTTTTTTTTTTAAAGTACTTTAACGGTTCAACTAATTGAACATATTAACTTGTAATAAGTAGAACTTTACCCAATTCTTCAATGTTTTCATTCTGGGAATGTTCAACTTCATCATTTTCATCGACAGACATTTCTTCCTTTTGTGTATTGTCAATATCTTCTTTAAGCATTTCTCCTAGGCACTGCCAAAGGCCTTCTAAGCTTCCGTCACCAGCTATTTTCAATTGGGGCAAACTCTGGGAAAAGAACAATCGAATATTAATAACATGATTTTATTTTTGTAACAGCAAATGATAGTAAATTTAAAAGAGGTTTACAAAATTGTTGTCATACATTTTTAAATAATATTAAAAGTAACTCAACACGCAATACAAACACAAGGATTGAAATCTTAAAGTGGATGATATTTAGAAAGATCATATGGGTAGCAACTTCATTGAAGGTAAACGCAAAGGTCACCAAGAAAAGGTTACTTCTGAAACAATTCCAACTAAACTATCAGGTATTTCACGATCCTGATATGAAATGAACATAATTGGATAATATTTTATTTGAAATTATATAAAATTATCTTCTATTAACAAGCAGTTTTGAAATTAAGTTGAAAATAACAATATGATCTGAGTAGGTTTGAATAAGTTTCGATAGAAAAAATAGTTTGAATAAACTTCGATGCAGTTCATTCTTCTACATACAGGCAAATCAACTTAATTTATTGCTTATAATCAACCTTTTAACTACAAAAATTCTTTTCGATTAACTTACTGAAGCAGTAACCACAGTCTGTCCGTTTATAATTTCAAACTCATCACTCACAGCAGTCGAATCACTTGATTTTACACTTACACTATCCTCCATTAGAATTGAAAACAATCTGAAAATTTCCAATTAAATAAGGAAAGGGAGTCAGTAAACATTGAGATCAATGAAAATTACATAATATTTTTTGTGATTGAAACAAGTACATACATGATAAAGTAAAAGTTAACATAGAAAAAACACTCTAACAAACAATGCGCATGCTCAAGATCAGCTCATTAAATCCTAAACCTTTACCAGAAAATATAAATTTTATTTACTTTGATTTTTAATGCAGGAAGAATATAAAAATATAACATAATGACAACAAAAACAAAAGTTAAAAAAGTTTAGGCAGAACATAAAGCAATAAAATACAGGCCAAGCAGCAAAATGAATAAAATAATTCAACATCAAATAATGAAAAATTAAAGAAAACATAAATTATTAGGGATATAACAAGGAATAAGTATATAGGGTACTAAATATATAATAGAAATGTATTTAAAATTATATACGGCATATAATTTAATAAATGTTTATTGTGAAAGATCATTTAAATTTAATTGCAGCAACTCTTAAGATAAAACAACCTAAAAATATAATAATTGATAGAATAAATAAATTTTAATATAAGATTTAAGACAATATTAAAAAAGTTCAAATAATTATGAATTAAGAGAAGGCATATTCATTGCAGAAAAATTAAGAATAATTAATTTGTAATAAATATAAGTAAACTAAACAGCAAAACTAAGGAATAAAATAGGATATCAGCATACTGCAACACATGCTATGTTAACAAGAATCACCGATAATATACAAAGCGATAAATGTAAATGACTATCAATGAAAAGTAAAAGACAAACATGTTTAGATTTACAATAATTTAAAAACACAGCATACTTTAAATGTCAACCATATTTTTTAAACATAGAAGACAAATTTTTAAAAAATCAAGTAAATACTTAAGCAATTACGTATGAGAACCAATTTCAAATCACAAACTATGAACTTTACCAGTGAAATCACGCTTTATCAAACAAATCTAAGAAAGCCCTTGTCAACATAACATTCTTACATCAAAATAATGATAACAAACATGACAGAGAACAATGTCAACAATCTAAACACATTTGTCAGAGAAGGTTCACAAACTTCAATGACAAGTTACAATTTTCCATAACCTAAAAAGTTTGAAAACATAATAATACAATAATTAGTTAGCTGTGGAATGATAAACAAAATAGTTAAAAACTGAGGTAAGGCCATCAGTATGCAACATTCCAAAGACTTTTGGCAAGGTAAAATTAAATACCTGCAATGTAATGTAAAATATCCTTACACTATTTTCAAGTGTGACACATATATATTTGGGTACTGAAAATCAAAACAAACATTTTGTACAATGCCATAATCAAAAACTAGATATACTTCACACTAAGAAGCAGAAAACAAAACAATTAAAAAGATGTATTTCATTCCTGTTAAATCTTGATCCATAAAAAAATATCTGCTTACCTTAGCCTCCTTCTAATATCATGTTTATGAATTTAGATGTAATCAACTTAAGAGAACACTTCTCGCCAAAACACAACGACCTAACAAAGCACTGACAATGTCAAACCGACAGCTGTAGTTGTTGGGTTAGCATGCTTGATACTAACAGTAGTAATTGTAAAAAAGTGATGATTAGACATTATCTCTGTTATAAACCAATAATTATTATTTATTTTAAATACAAATTTCTAATTTGGGCTTTTCGCACTTTTAAAGACAACAAATTTAATGATATAAATATCGGTAAATCAAAGAGAGCTCTAATGGTTAGAGTATTAACTAAATTGATTTGAACAATTTGATTAGCCTTCCCCCCCCCAATCTAAAGTTGTTCTTTCTTACTATTCTTAATAATCCCAAATATTTTAAAATTATCTTCAACAGGTACAATTACAGAAGACAATCTTTTTTTATCTGCAATTAAATTACAGTTTTTTCTCGAAGAATATCTCATAAAACAATTTCGTTGTTATGAAATAATAATCATAATTTACTTTCAATCAAATAAAAACAAAACTTCATCGTAAATGCTTCTGAAACATTTTTTAATTTTAATTTGCTTATCCTGGGTACCATTATGTTAAAAATAAAAACCCTTTGTAGCTAATGCTAGGGGGTGCCCCCATCCCTCTCAAGGTCAATGGCACATGAATTTCTCCTCCTCCCTCCTTTCAACATATTTTATTGTTCTTCTCTTCTTAAAATTGGAAACGAAATTAGAATTTTAATTAGAATCGTAGATTGCATACAAATTCACTAGCTGTGGTCTGTTCCATATTTTTTAATTGCCCCTTCGTTTGAAATTTTTTATTTCGACAATTCATAACTCTATTGAAATGTGTCATAAGAAATTCCAAACCCTATCAAAATGTGCCTCCTCAAAAATTTGATGGTGCAGTATGAGCATTAAACCCCCTTCTGGGCATCCCTGGCTTATGTCTCTCTTGGGCGGCTTATACAATAGAGTTTGCAACTGTTGGACAAAAACAAAGGCAACTTTGTTGGCAGCAACTTCTTCCTGTTACCAAAATTTTCCGAACGCTATCAGTAACAAAGGCACATTAACACTAGATGGTGCAAACATGATTGATAACAAAATATATATGTAACATTTGATGTGAACACCCTTTTAGAAATGCAATAACAGAAATAAGACATTAATTTTTAGAAGGACTGAAATAAATTTGTTCATATTTTTATTTTTTAAATTGAATTAACTAATCAATACGATGAACAACGCAAATATTCTGGGAAAGCAAATTTTAGGAATTTTTCCTAAGACCTTTTTAAAAAGATAAAATTTCATATATATATATATATATAAACTTTATCTTCTGATTCTGAGCTGTCGTAATCCATGGATCTAGCACAATATATCTCTGTCCTTGAACCCAAATTAGTCGGTGAAAGGAATAATGCCAAATTAACCCAAAGGAATCGGCCATGGAATCATAGATGTTTACCATTCCCAACCATGGAAATCATGGTTAATAGCACTAGCGGATCCAGGATTTAATTTTTTTTTGGGGGGGGGGAGGAAGGGGGAGGGAGAGCCAAATTCAGCCCGAAATGGTTATTGCTGTAATTCTTTCAGTTAAATGAACTGTTCTGTAACTCCTAACCAATGGGTAGATCGATTTTTCACATCCAAACAAAAGAATATAAGTTGATTTAAGAAAGAACTAATTGATTTTCAATCTTTTTTCATTACTACACGATAACAAAATAATATAAATATGCACCAATCAAACTCTTGTATAGGCTTAATTGATCATAGACTATTTTGGACTATGGTCACTATCTTCATGGAACATAAGCAGGACAGTTGAGCGATGGTTTGGAATTTACTTTGGAAAACACTTTAGATCTGTACAATATAAAACGAAGATAAAAAAATATAACAATACCTTATATCTTAAAACCAGATCAGAAACTAAATCCCATGACCTTGTATATTTTTCCTTAGTAGTTTATCCGTACGATCATATCTTTTATAATGCTCACATTTTTTTGAAATGTTAATTCAATTGAGTATAAGTTAAGGATACACAAGGTACAGAACAAGTACATTTCTCAATAAAAGCCCAGGCAGACATGTTAACTTGCAAAAGGTCGGGCAATTCAAAAAGTCGGGAAATTCTTTTTTATATTATCAAGTGCATAGTGAATACAAAAAAATCTAAGTTTTCGCCCTTGAAATTCTTGCGGGTTCGCTGCAGTGCTCCATAAACCATTGAAACTTCTATCATTTTTTGGTTTACTCTAAATATCTCCTTTTTAGGGAAGCATAGATAAAAAACGATTATAATCAATTTTAAATAGCCTAAAATTATCTAACATTTTTTCTAAACCCAACAGGAAGCGAACTATCGATCTTTCCAAATTTACCCTTTTTGATTTCTTCACAATAGTGCTCTTTCAGTTTTGAAAGGAAGCATTTTATAAATCCATTTTGAATCTCGTTCAGAGAATTCGTAGTTTTTTCTTGAAGATAATGAGCCACTGACTGGAAAGCGTAGACGGTAGTCAGGAGGTATTCTGAAAAGTATGTTACATGGTGGACCAGAACCCACTACCGTACATCCCAATAAATTGCATACTGTTGTGTTTCTTTTAACTATTTATTTAAAAAAAAAAAGGCAATGTTCCAATGAAAAAAGCGACCGCACTGTCCCAAAATGGTATTGACGTCTTTGACTTGAGTTGTTTTATCCGTCACTTAGATTCGACATTTGTCTTAATATCACCTTAATTTGCCTTTCATTGAAGGTAGATAGATAGGAAATAATAAAACATGAAACATGTTAAAAAAATAATTGACCTTGGTAATAGAAAAAAAACCAGTAAAATCAGTTTTTTCAAGTCGTTCAACTAAAGTTGAAAAACAAGCGTCTTTTGTAAATAAATGGTCAACAATAACGAAAAATAGCTTGAAATAAAACATCTGGAGAATACATTTATATTTCCAAAACACTAAAAAACTATTTAAAATATTTGAAGCAGTTACTTAGAAAATACACTTTATCGGCAGAAAACCGTCACTGGCATAGGTTTCTAGAGTCCTTTGCCACACCATTAAGTACTAATAAATGGCATAGTTATATTACTGTAATTATTGTATTAATATTTTATTGCACTAACGAATAAATATTAATACAATAATTTAATTTATCAATTTTCGTATTTTTTTTTTCTTCAAAACTTTACTCATTTTGAAAGCTCAATAGTTCGCTGCCTGTTAAGTTTAGAAAAAAAAGTTAGATAATTTTAAGCTGTTTAAGATAGAATATAACTATTTTTTATCAATGTCGCTTTAAAAAGGAGTTATTTAGCGTAAACCAAAAAAAAAGTTTAAAATTTCATATTTTAATTTTATATGTTGTAAAACTTTTTATTTTATAAAATACAAAAATAATGGCATTTATGTGAAAGTTGGAATATTGTCAGAAATGGTGTAATCCTTCAAGACCCACCCACTACACCAAATCCTGGGTCCAGATATAAGGGATTACTTTGGATTGAATTGAGGATTGTATCCGGAAAGAATTTAATGTTTCTGTTGCATCTTACCGTTCTCTACCGTTTATCCTAGTAAATATGTACGGTTAATGATTTTAGAATAAGTATTACCTTTGAAGTATACAATAATTTTTCATCAATATTAATTTATCATTTAATATATTTGAATTTTCATATCATCGTCCGTATAGGATTTGAGTAACGAATGTTAAAAACAGCATTTTTGGAATTAATTACTTTAATCTTTCCCCGAAGTATTTAAGAATTATTATTTATACATTTTATTTTATTTTTTTCTAGAAGGAGGGAGAGAGATGGATCGGAGTACCAAAGAACTTTTTTTTTATCATGTTTTATAACTGACTAGGAATAAAACGGAATAAGATTGAAAAGCACCAACCAAATAGATTGTAAAAGACTGAATTTACTCCAAAGACTGTTGTTCCTTATAATACTGGAATTAAATAAGTTTATAAATACATTTTACTTACATAAAAAGTTTATTTGTATACATATATCGCAATGTGTGTTTACAATAAAAACCTAGTGTTTTTAGAGCTAACAAAATAGGTATTTCCACATTCGTTAGTAATGTGGAGTCGATACCTATTATCAGCTTAGTAACTAAGATATTAATCTATAGTAATCTAATAATAATGTTTTAATCTAATCTACGTCGTATTTGGAATAATAAATAGTTAATTCAACTGTTCTGGTGTCAAAAATGGTGCATTTTTCGCAATTATTCTCTGAATTAATCATTACAATAATTTCAACTTTATTCTTATTTAAACCATTAAGATTTATATGATATTCTATTATATAACACAAAACTACTGATTTGGAATACCACTGAATATGGGCTTATACAAGATTGGTATGTTTGTGAGCGAATACATAAGTTTACTTGAAAATGTGAACGGAATAGCTCATATTCTATAAAAACGGAGCAAACTATTTTGATTAAACCTTTTATATCGATGTGGAATTGAATGGTCTTTAATAACAGTTATGGCTTGTCCTTGTTAGAATAGTGTGATGGGGTCTAAATGCTGATTTTTCAAATTATTTCCTCCAAAATATCTTTAATTTTGTAAATTACAAATAATTAAAGTGAAAATATATTTACCAATGAGAGCGTAGTCAGTGAGTCTTTGATTAGCATTAAAATCGGATAGAGGTTAACGACTTTAAGGTTAATCAACAAGAATTTTTTTTCTGAGTGTCATCAGTTGTCAAGTGAATGGCTGATAAGAAAACTCGCGAATAAACCAAGATTTGATGCAAACCAGAGCATAGTGTAGTTTACATGCATAAAACTCCCTTTAAAATTATTTTAACAAAAATAAATTCTGCTTCCGTTTGAAGAAAATTTTGAATAGAAGGATGGTTGGGATGATCAATGAAAATAAAAAATGGCAAAAATAAATAATAATATTTATTTTTACATTTGCCCACGTTTCGACCCGAAGTTCAGGCATTCGTCAGGTCTGAGAAAAGAACCAGGTAACAATAGATAAGAGAAACATAAACAATGTAGGTAGAAAAACTTAAAGTAAAATG